CGAACATTATTCCTAATCCAGAGAATAATGAAGATCACATAGAACCCGATCCCAATGAAGAATGGAGAGCTTGATTCACGAAAATTCAGAGTTTCATCTCTTGGAAGAATTCAGTTAACAAATGGTGTAATCACCCAAGGTTCATTACATATTGGTATCGAAAAATCGCTTGAGAAGGATATCTTGTTCATCGCTTGGTGGCGTTAGCTTTTTATCCAAAGAAGGAAAGAATATGTAAATCATATTGATGGACCCTACTAACAATCTTGAATGGTGCACACAAAAAGAAAATATGCAACACGCCGTACGTCTCGGGCTTCGTAACTTCAAGATAGCAATAAATATCAACGTCCTATCAGGCAGATGGTTCTACTCGAGAATTTTCATCCATAACGTACAACTGGAATTAATCGGTCAAATATTGGTGAAGTATGTCGAGGACTCCGAGCTCACGCTGAGGGTTGTCGTTGGGAGTACGTGTGCAATGACACATGATAAACGTTGAACCTACGCGAAACATATTTGCCGTAAAACAGATACATCCCAAAATTATTTAACGCAAAAATTTTGGGGACTAATAATGCTACGGAAAAAAAAACGTGACATGCAAAAATGTTATATCATACCAGATCCACATAAATGATGCTAAATTAATAAATTAATCATTATTTCTCTTTCTCTTAAAAATGTCTCGTGCACGTACTTCAGACGATATTTGGTGGGCAAGGATTTTGGATAGAGTTGACGAACTTTTACACAATTATCCAAAATTACCAAAAAAGCGGTTGGCAGAGAGCAGGTGGGTGTATGAGTGTATTACTTTATTACTTAGGTACCACCTAATGTTTGTATGGAATGCAGGTTGCCTTTCCTAATTGGCTCGAAAATAACGATCAAAAATTATAACACCTTCCTTCACAATCACGGGTCATCTGGATACAAATTCCAGTTCTATTTAAACAACGACAATAAAACTGGCAACGTGTATATAATTGATATTGCTTCAGCCAGACATGAGGATGTTGTTAGACGGCTTTAAGAATTTTTCAAATCTTCTAATGGTGGAGTTGTTGACGATCCTCTCATAGTAGTCACTGGACAACCTAGTAAGAGAATCTATTCTAGTTTGCTTCTTGTTATTGAGTTTTCAATATTCTTATAGTCTTTTCATATAGTTCATAATGAGCCTGGTGGAAGTGGAGTCGAAATAGCTGATGCGGCTGTACAAGTAAAAGGATTGTTCCAAGACCTTCTACCGTAGTACCTCCTCGCCCTCCCAGTGATGGAGATGTATGTTGAGTTTAATGTGTATTATTGTATTTTGTTTTATATGTGATTTTCATTATTGTGTTTATGTAGGGAAATCCTCATGCTCGGATAATATGTGAGGTAGCCGTGGGCCAAAGTGTTGGTGAATTGAGACGAAGTGTTTATCTTGGATGCGAGAACAATACGTTCGTGCTGTCATCAGTATCAAGATTTCAGGTCCAAGACCAGGTGTGCGAGAACCTGGAACTGGATATTATTTTAGGACAATGACGGTATATCTTGTTATTCAATGATACCAAGTCAAGCATTGCATATTTTCATATCTGATTAGTCTGTTTTTAAAATGTTAGGCAAAACTTTACCGTCAAGGAATGGCAATACAACGGTGGGATTTTGGGAATGCTAAAAAACATTCAAGGGATCCAATCAATGATCCTGCTGATTGCAACGCACCAAACTTGCCAGCTTTTCAGATCACAATTCCTATATGTGAAGTATTCTGGGACCCACCGTATCCTATCCCATTTGGATATGTTCCAGTAACCCCGACAGATATAATTGGTAACGAGTTTATTATTGACTTGTACTGGATCCAGCAAGCCGCTTTAGATGCTAATATGTGAACAAGTTAAAAAATTGTGATCATGTGAGACTCTGAAATTTCATTTTTACGATTTCGATAACTCATGGTTTACACTTTTTATAAATACAAATTAAATAAATGAAGTTTACTCCTGCATTTAATCTTATTGCTAAAGTAAAAGTAAATAGTATTGTTCGTTTTTTATTTTCAAATATAGTATAAAATTTTTTTGTGAAGCATATGTAATTAAATTAGTACAGGATTGTTTTATTAATACAATAATAGCGTGAGGAAATAAATAAATCGAAAAAAGTTCGAGCATTCTCAGATACGGAAGCATCCTCACTAATGTATGAATTCTCTATGGAGACCTTTCTTTTTCCCAATTTCAGAAATTTGAAAGATAACTCCCGGCTAAGCCTTTTTAATATGTAAGAATCCTCATCCTTAACCCGTTTCTTAGTTTTTTGCTGGAAGTATTTTCTGTAGATTCACCTGTAGTTTCATTAGCCCGCTTATTACTGATAGCATCCTCCATTTCCTCATTTTCTTGAATTACCAGTGAATTTATCTGAAGTTGATTACTCATCTTCCTAATCATTGATAAGGTACTTGACTGTGATGATTGCTGTGAAAATTCTCGTTTAGCAGGGAACGCGGGTTCGATAACTTTACCACATCCAGAAGGACATTTATTCTCTTCTGTAAATAAATTTTTTTTCGCGATATAATATCTATGATATACATGTCCACACGTCAGGATATTTAATGGTTCGAAAGTAATTGCAAAAATTTCTTTATCGCATTCAGAACACGGTGGCAGTTCCGCAACGTCAACATTTTGGTTGATACTTTCACTCGCTTCTTTCAGGATATTATAGACGAGGATTTTGGATTTCTGTACTAATAATTCGGGTTATATAGTTGTAAAATATTATAGTTATCCGTAGAAGAGGATACATGAGTTAACAAGGGTTCGTTTCGCTTTGCGGGGAGGAATTGGTGCTCTGGAGTTCTTTGATAAGTTTCTTAAGAATAGGTGAATCCTCTCTATTATCTGTCTTTTGTTTTATTTGGAAGCTTTTTTTAGACGAATCTTCTTCGAAAATATTGGTACGCTTGGATGGTAAAACGGTTCCGGAGGTATCAGCTTTAATCTCCGTATTTTCAGTCTTAACTTTTATATTTTCAGCTTTAAGCTCGATATTCTCAGACTCAACTTTAGCAAACTTCTTTCCAAACTCTTTGATCTCGACTGTAAGCTTGGTATTTAATTCTCTTAATGAAGCAATTGTAGTTTGTGTATGTCATTGTCTGCCGAGGTCTGAGATCTCATTTTTTCGAATTCTCTCCTTTTTATGTAAAGTCATATATTTCTGATTAATGAAGCATCTTTTAGGTATATAATTAATCATGTATAGGAATTTACCCCCATCCTTTTCCAAATTTCTTTTTTTTTTTGGTAAAACAGAATTATCAATAGTTATTGCCCCGCCATTGTAAACAGTCCCACCATTGCTGGCTTCACAGTTTATAAATTTTGACTTGTGGAGATGTGTATTCTTATGAGAACGATCCTGTTTGCAATTTTGCGATTAGGTTGTGGATTCTTTAACAGAAATATGGAAAATTAGCATTCAACTAATACATTTGGATCTCCCATCCGAACATCAGCCAAGCTAGTAGGTCGCCTGTATCAGATGGTCCAATGCAAGGTCGGCTAATAGGCTTGAACATCAAGCAAGCTAATAGGTTGCTTGTGCCCTTACATTGGTTTTG